TTTTTGCCTCAAGCTGTTTTTCGCGGGAGTAATTTCTTCAAGGGGTGGGTCTGCGAATGTGCATGTTGGAATTTGAAAATCATGATCTAACCCCTCAACATCCCCTGGAATAATTAGGTTTTGGAATAATTTCATATAAATTTCCAGTCGAACATATCTCTAGAATAATTTGGGGAAAACCAGCGTCATGGTATTCAACCATCATCTTCATCACTGGCTCTTTCCTACATATTTTCCAATTTGTCATACTTCCCTCAGGTCTTCCATATTCCCTTCAGTTCTCTCCATAAACTCTCGATGGCTTTGGTGGGGGGTGGGAAAGGGCAAGTGTTGGGTTTTGGTTTTTGATGTTTTCCCAATTTCTGCGCTAGCTGGGTGGTTGTGTCAGCTGCCCATTTTGGTTTTCGAGGGGTGCCGCCTCTGGAGAAACCCAGCAAATTGCACTCAGCCTGGCTTTCCCATTTTCCCAACCTTTTCACACTTTCCCCCATTTTAAATCTATTTTTCCATATTCCTTTCATTTCCCTCCAAAGAACTCTCGATAGCCCTGGTGGGAATGAGTGGGAAAGGGCAAGCGTTTAGTACTCATTGGGTTTGGACGTCTTTTTTACAGTTTCTGGGCTTACCGGGCATCTCCAATACCCCTAGAATAATTTCTCCCCTGGGGAAATCCCACACATTGGCACTCAACTGGGCTCAGATTTTCCCAACCCTTCATACTTTTCCCTGTTTCTTCCATATTCCCTTCATTTCCATCCAAACAACTCTCGATGACCCTAGTAAAAAATGAGTGGGAAAGTGCAAGTGCCAGCTAGATTTTTACGATTTTTCCAGCTTTCTGGGCTAGTTGGGTGGTGCATGATCTGCTGAGAGCAGACATGAAGAGTGATGGTTGAATTTATTTGTGAATTAGGTTTTCCGACTCATCGATCCTAGTAGATCGTATAGAAAACACAATTACAGTAACCTTTGCAAAAGCAACATTGTGCAATTTTTCCTGTTGATGTATTTTGTGTTTTTTCCATTCTGTTTCGGTAGGCTACGCAATGCTGCGCCCCCAGCTCTTGGCGCTAGATTTTTTGATAGGGGTATCCTTTTGTTGGATATTATTCCAAAATCCGATATATGTCATTGAGTTCTGGGAAGAATAATTTTTGAATTTCAACTCGAGGTATCCCAGAAGAATACTTTATCATGCTGGGGTATATTGACGGGGGTATAACGCCCCAGCAATTTAGATCAATTTAGACATCTTGAGATTTCGTTTATTCGAAAGCGCCGTGCGTATCGCAAAGCCCAGGTTCCCTGCCGATCCAGACAGCCCTCAACTTAGTCAAGTTCATTGACCGAATCTTTGCCGAAGATGTCATCAAGGCCTTGGGGGAATTCAGCTTTGTTCACACGACAGTTCCAGGGAAACCAGTCAAATTATCCTTCGACAAAGCCAAATTCCAGATTCTAGTCTGCACTCTTCTCGCGCTCTCAACTTTGCATTCCGCGGTTCTGTTTTCAGATCGTAAGACCCGGCTTTTTATAGTAGAGTTAACGTTAGCTAACGCCACGCGTGTTGAGGTTGTTGAAGCTGCAGGATTCGAAACCAGTCACAATAACCAGTCCCACCTCCAAGAAGTGATTCTTGAGATAAAAGTCTAAAAGGTATACCGGAAGATCAGGAAACTTCACATGAGAGGTCTCGTGTTTGTTTGAATAGGTGTCGCAAGCCACCGAAAGGGGTACGGTGAACTAGGTTCCCGTCCCATAGAGAGCCGGCCGTGTGGAATTGTGTTTGGGGTGTCAACGACCCTGTTCAACGTGTGTTCCATCCACACCTTCATTTCCCATCGAATGTTCCTTCTTACCAGGTTTAGTGTCTCATGATGATTTGACAATGTGAGGTTTGCTGTGCGCCAGTTTCCAATATTCGCTTTTAACGCATCATTGATTTGACTCACAACTCACAATGTTTTCTGAATCAGCATGTTCACCGTGCAGACAGCCCCAAAAAAACAGAAAGGCTTTTTCCTTGCCATTGCTGAAGTCACCAATTGTTTGTATATATTCAATGATATTGATAGATGATTTATGTGATATTCAATTCAATATTGATATATCATTGATATATCATTGATTGGATGAGTAAGGACGATGACGTCTGTCAATTTTTGGTGCTCAAGCTTTCATGGTTGAAGTGGTGGCCAGACTTCTTCAAGGAGTTGAGATTTTTAGGTGTGGAATCCTCACCAATTGGTGGGGCCTTGGTTGTCCCTCACGTTGCGGATCCCCTGCGGCATCATCCCTCCTACTCTGTCTCATTCTTGGATTTTGCCTTGGATTTGCCTCCTGCCTTCTCATCTCTTACTTCGTCTTGGGTGTCTTCCTGCGTGATCTTCCTGCTCCCCAGAGGGGTCCACATCCTGCCTCCTGGCAAGAGGCCAATCTCCATCGCCTGAGAGGCTATTTGCATGCAAGGGTCCAGGATCAACAATCTCAGCGATAAGGTTGATTTGTTGAGTGGGAGGTTGGATTCTTTAGGAGGGCAAGTCGACTCCTTAGCACGTGCTGTTGAAAGGCTCAGTTTAGCAATCGGCAGCTCCCCTTTGCCGGCCTCCGGGCCTGCAGGTGAAGCCTCACGTGCCTATCCTGCTCCATCAGATACCAGCTCGGTATCTGGGGTCCCGAAGTCCAGCCAGTATAACGCCCTTGCTGCGGAGATTCCGGTTGCCTGATTTTTGTGTGGCTTTGTGTGGTCGCCTGGCGGCTGGTACGCTCTCCGCTCGCCAGAGAGCACAGCGGGCTTGGGAGAGTGGTTGCTGGGAAAAGTTTGTCTTGGAGGGCCGAATCCAGAAGACCTTCTCGGCCTTGCGACGTCGCAAATTCCATCTACGTGGTCCTCAAGGCGCCAGGGTATTCTTGCCCCCTCTACGTCACCAGTGCCAGTGCCTACCGGGCGATTGTTGGTGACTTCACGGGCGACACTTTGTCCCACGGCTTTGTGTCACAAGCCGAAGCTAAGGTTTACTGTGCAGGAGCTGGCGTGGCCTTTCCATCGTCAGTGCATCAATGGACCTCGCAGCAGTGAGTTCGATTCAAGAAGGTTTCCAGGAAGTTTATCTCCTCAGCTGGCCTATCGATGTTCCTCATAGAAGATGCTATGTCAGGCCAGTGCATGGGTGTTATGAAACGAGAAGGAGGTGTCCTCTTGGCAGTTCCCCTAGGTCTTATCCCTACAGAGGCATTACAGGCAGCTGCACAGCATGCAGAGCAGTCTTTGCTAGGGCCTCACACCGTGTTGACCATTCCTGCTGTCATCTTGCAGGAGGGTCAGTTGGTTCCTGCAGAGGAGTCTTTGGATGTGCAGGTGGTAGATACCAGCCTAGACGTGTTGTTGGCGTTGAAGCCTTTTGCACTGTGGATGGAACTTCGAGAGCCTATATGGTGTTGTTTGGAGGAGAAGCAGGGGCATTGCCAGCCCCCGCCGCTCTGCTGACTTATGCCAGGGAATGGATCACAGTAGCTGGTCAAGGTCGCACGGTGTTCTACTCTGCCGAGGAGCCAGAGATAGTGGAGGAACTGCCTCCAAAGGCGGCCAAGGCAAAGCAAAAGGCAAAGGCAACAGAGAAAGCAAAAAAGCCAAGTCCTCAGCAGGTGGCAGAGCAAATCCAGAGCCTAGCAAACATGATTCCTGCAATGGCACAGGAGCAAACACGTATGAAGCCATGGAAGGTGTAGCAATGTCTCCCCCTCCTCGAGCCTCTCAAGCTCCTGTTGCCATGTCCATGCAGGCTTTTGCGAAGGTGATGTGGCAACCCCCCAAGGTCAGAGGTCTGGCAGCCCCTCCTCCCCCGCCTGCGAAGGCACACAGAATGCAGTTGGACTCAGCTCTCGATGTGCAGGAGCAAGCAGAGGAGTCAGACCCAGTGAGAGAAAGCAGCAGCCTGGCACTTGCAGTTTTTAAGCAAATCAAAGCTCTAACAAGCCTGGTCTCGCAGCTATCTTCAGGAGACCCCCTCCTGGACTCCCAGGCCACAGGGGCCGCAACCTCTTCCAAAGGAGCTCAGGGCCGGGAGAAGCTCATGAAAGAGCTTGCAGAGAGGAGCAGCGATTTTTGCCTGACAGTGGCCCAAAATGCATACCGGAGGATGAAGCCGGCCAGCAGGGCTCCAGCAACGCTTCAGGAGATCGCTCAGACAGACTTTTCCATGCTCAGCTATCTAGAGCGTTTTGGGGGTTACGGGGGAGCAAGAGATGTAGGGATCATGCAGTATGCTATGAGCTTCATCATGGACTGCGCCATCAGGGAGGACATAGCCGGAGTTCAGGAGTATGCTGCCCTCTCTTCATGGTGGAGCTGGAGCAGGCGGCTCAAGACCAGGGCCGTTGTGACCTTGCTTTTCAGCTGATGCTTTTGGAGTATCCCCCCAGCCAGATGTGGTCCTACAGAGGAGCTGGGATCCTGCAAACAGGGCGGGCTCGAGCCTTCGCCCCACTTTGCCCACAGAGGTGGGCGACAGTGGCTCTGGCATACACAAAGGAGATCGACTACATCCAGTCCAAGCGCCTGGAGCTCAACAAGAAGGCTCCAGCCCCGGCGCCTGCTGCAGTTCCGAACTCAAATCAAAACCCAAGTCCAAAGAAGAAGCAGACCAAGTTCCCAAATGCAAAGCAGGCAGCAGGAGGAGGGCAGGCTTAGTGAACAGGAGGTCTGAGGTTGGGACTTCTGTCGGCTCTGATGGTGGCATCTCTTTTGCAGCCCAGTGTGGCACTGTCCCCTTGCCATCGAGTCTTCCTCTCCATGAGGATCTTCAGGGTGAGAGTGCCCTATAGGAGTTCCCAAGGTTCAGTTGCTGGAAGTTCCACTAGTCCAGCTACACTGGATGGTTGTGCTGATCCGTTTCCACGGGCAACTGTGAAAGCGACGGTTGCCTCTCAGGCCTGCCTTGAGCACGTTGCCCAAGACAATGAATTTATTTGGATGGTCATCATTGGTTTTTCGGCAGCTGATGGCCTCTGGCACCAAGTTTTCGTTCTTCGTGCTGAAGTGCGTCCTCGCATGCAAGGGGCCTCGTGAAGAGGCTTCAACCGCTTTGTTTCCACTGCCCCTTCCTCTTGGTGATGTATGGAGCAGTGCCCTGAGGAGGCTCAGTGGCACGAGACGTGCCAAGATTGCCGTGAGGAGGAGCTTGTTTTTGGCAGTTGCAGCTTTGAATTTTCTGCACTTCAAGGAGCCTTTTTCACAGATCAAGTTTCTTCAGAGGTGCCCATCAGAATGTCATTTACAGATTTTTGGCAGGCTGATTGCACTTATCAAGGCGGGCGGCCACAGCGGAGATTTTGACGTTCTTAGCTGCGGACGCAAATCACACCAATTAGTTGCAAGGCTTGAGGAGCTGCACAAGACTTTGCCAAGTTTCGGTCTTGAGATCAGCTCTGTTTATTCCAAGGAGAAGGTCGTGCAGCGAGTTGTGATGAACAATGAGAAGGATGAGCTGAGGCCGTACAGGAGCCTTGATGCCTCCCGTTTGAAGCTGGTTGGGCAAGCTAGCTGGGATTGCCGGCCATTTCTTTCAGATCTTCTCTTATGAGCTTTGTCGAGCCAAAGGCCAACCAGTTTTCTGTCGTTGCGCCACCTGAGCTTCTCCCTGACTTCTCCAGCGTTGACAGAGCAGAAGTGATTGAGCTGTGCCGTGTTTGGGATGCCCGGGGACTCTTGAAGGTCCTCCCTCGGAGCTATGGCCCCCCTCATTTGTGGATGTTCTCCAAGGTCTTCAACAACTTCAAGAACCCTACTTCAGATAGGCAGATTGGAGATCGTAGGGGCCAGAACTTTTGTGAGGGTCACATTGAAGGTGGGCCATCAAGATCTTTGCATATGGCATCCACCCTACTGCAGCTGGGGGCCACCAGGTTCTCAGAGGCACTTGTTGGCTCAATAGCGGACAGGAAGTATTTTTACCACCAGTTTTGGACGACTGATGAGCGCTGTGCCACCAATGCGCTTTATCCCCCTTTGTCTTTGTCAGAGATTGCTGGCACTCATGCGGCAGTTGCGTATGCCAACAATTTCCTTTACAACAAGCAGAGGAGAAAGAAAGGGTTTGACAGAATTCTTGAGGGAGATTTCCTCGGAGGAGACAGAAGGGGGCTTCTGTTTGAGGCTCAAGAGGATATTTGCTACTGTTTTGCTGCACTGTTTCAAGGCGACCATCTTGGAGTCGAGTTTGCCACGGATGCTCATAGCAGGCTTCTACAAGAAAGTGGCCTGCTCTCCGAGGGGTGCAGACTCCAATCTGATGCCCCCCTCAATTGGGATGGCTGCGCTTCTGGTTTGGTCATTGATGATTTTTTCGTGATCTCTAGAGAGGCAGTCTCAGCTGAGGAGGATTACAAAAGGTCAAGGTCAATGCAGCACTTTAGTATTGCAAAGGAGGTTTATGCGAAAGAAGGCCTCTTAGGCTCTGATGACAAGGATGTCCAAGCCGCCTCAGTTTTCAAAGTATGCGGTGGGGAGATTGTGTCTCATGCAGCAGCGGTCAGAAGTGGTGTCGTTGCTTTGGGCTCGCCTTACGAGAAGCGGGTAGCTTTAGCAGCTTTGTCGTGCAGAGCTGCTGCCTGGCGCTTCACTTCTGATTCTGATGCTTTGCACTCATGCCTGACAGGATCACGGGTGTCCATGCTGATGTTGAGGCGCCCGATGATGGCCATCTTGAACGGCCTATGCTCAGGCCGTTGTCCAGAGCTGCTGCTCAAGAGTTTCAGCTTTTAGCCTCTTTGGCTTTGGTATGTACTTCAAACCTTGCTGTGCCGTTTTCAGATGAGCTGTTTGCCACTGATGCCTCCAAGGAGAAAGGAGGAATTTGCAAAGCAGTGGTCTCTGAGGAGCTGTCCAAAGTACTGTGGAGAAGTGCTGACAAGAAGAAACCTCCGGTGCCTTTGCTTTCCCACTCACAGGCCATCCTTTCTCAGTATGAGGAGATGCATGAAGAGCTGTCAGCAACGACTGCACAGTTTGAGGTGCCCCAGTTGTTCAGATGAGGGCTCTGGAGAGGACGCAGCACTTTTAGAGGTTCCTTGTGACAGACCGATTGGCATGCGCTTTGAGTTTATAGAGATTTGCGGAGGAGCAGCAGGGGTGACCAAGGAGCTGATCCGAGAGGGGATCAGCTGTGGCCCGGTGCTTGACCTTTCAGACAATTTGACGTTTCAGAGCACAGGGTCATACAATGGGTTGTTTTCATGCTTGAGGAAGATAGGCTTGAAACATTCCTTGTCTCCCCTCCTTGCACTTCTTTCAGCCCAGCAGCTCACCCGTGTGTTCGGAGCTACAAGGAGCCTAGAGGTTTTGACCAGCAGAATTGGAAGGTGAGGATTGGCAACTTGCTTGCTTTTGCTGCGCTCACCTTCCTTTTTGTGGCCTACAGAATGCAGAAGTGCGATCTAGGCGAGACTCCTAGGCGCAGCAAGATGAGATGGCTTGAGGAGTGGAAGAGGTTGATTGCGTTAGGAGCTGAAGAGGTTTTCCTGGCTAGTTGCATGTACGGCTCAGTGCACCAGAAAGAGTTTTGCTTTCTAGGTGTCAACATGCATGTCAAGCTTCTTCATAGGCGTTGCAGCAGAGACCACCAACACATCAGGATCCAGGGCAAATATACCAAGATGTCAGCAGTCTATTGTGAGGGGCTCTGTAGGGCTTTGGCTGTTTTCTTCAGAGACCACATCTTGGCCAGAAGGAGAGCTCGTGAGAGGCTTGATGTCAGGAGCCAAGGGCTTGAGGATGTCCTTACCAATGACTGCTGCATCTTTTGAAGAAAGGAGGAGACCTGCGCCAGACCATTCTCCTTGACTCCCATGTTGCTCTTTCGTGTTTTGTGAGAGGACGCTCCTCAGCAAAATCATTGCAGCACCAGCTAAAGAAGTTTGCGGTTCTTTGCATAGCAGGGGGTTTGTACCCTGCTTTCAGGTTTGCACCGACCAGAATGAATCCAGCAGATGCCCCCACGAGGGATAGAGAGGTCTTTGCCCACGAGAGCCTGACGGTTCTTGCGGGATGCAATGAGGAGACACAGCATGTTGCAGCCAGGTGCAAAGGTTTAAGAAGGTGGGCAGCAAACTGGGCAAGACTCACTCTGCTCTTGCATACTTCCCTCCTGCCATTCCTTGCCTGCCATGATTTGCGGAAGCACCCCATCTGCCCCATCCTCCAGCGTGAGTGGACTTTGGATTTTGATTCCACGGTGGGGTATCCAGGGGAAGGGCCACTCTTCAGGCTCTTGCTTTCTCTCTCTGCCGTATGGGGGTCTTTAAGCATAGTAGTTGCGGTATGTTTTAGCCATGGCGACGAACTGCGAAAGCGTCAGCGCTCTGGAATAGTTCTGGAAGATGGTCGTCGAGTCACAGAGACGACTGCAAACGTGCGTGGGTTGCTTTTCCAAAATTTTCTGGGATGGCTCACTGACCAAGGTTTTTCTTTTGATGAACTGGTGATGTCTTCGCCTCCAGATTTGGATCGGATCAACAAGGTTTTGGTGCAGTATGGCAAGTGGCTTTTTTCTGCAGGGAAACCATATTACCATCTGAGTGAAACCATAAACCTTGTGACCAGCAAACGCCCAGTGATACGGCGATCTTTGCAGCAAGCATGGGACCTTGCTTCATGTGAGGTTCACATGAGCCAGTTGAACACCACATTGCGATGCCATATCAGATTTTGATAGCCTTGATTTCTGCTGCATGGTGGTGGGGCTGTTGTCGCACTTTCTTGGGGCGCTTTGCTTCGGATAGGTGAGGTCTATGAGGCCAGGCGGTCAGATCTTATCCTACCCGAAGATGTTGACAACACAAATGACTTCGCGTTGCTTAGAATCCGAGAACCCAAAACACGTTTTAGGGCAGCCAAACACCAGGCAGGTCGACTTGAGCATGTGGACTTGCTGGAGGTCGTCAAAATCGGATTTCAACGTTTGAAGCCAGAAGAGAAACTGGGGCCTTTCTCTGGAGCAACTCTGAGGTCTCGTTTGCACAAACTTTTGCACCAACTAGGCCTGCCAACTGAGCTCCAGAATAAACCAAAGCCGCTCTCGCTGGCTAGTTTTCGACCTGGAGGAGCAACACATATGATTTCGGTTTGCGACAATGCTGAAACTGTGAGGCGACGTGGCCGCTGGGCCAGTTTTAAAGTGATGGAGATCTACTTGCAGGAGGTCAGTTCCTCCACCTACCTCAACATGATCAGCAATGAAAGCAAACTGAATGTGCTCGCTGGGTTGAAAGTCTTTCCAGTCCTTCTCCAAAAGATCTTAGTTTTTTACAAAAGCAGAATCCCGGCCACCACGTGGTATTTTCTGCTCCGAGCTGAGTTATGTGAGGACTTTACTGTTCAAGGTGGGAAAGTGGGTGATGTAAAGATCAATCAGAACCCAGCAGCCAACCACACGTACAATTCGAGGCTGCGAGGATGAGCCAAAAAGGAGTGTGAGTTTGAGTCCTTGGATGAGTAAGGACGATGACGTCTGTGAATTTTTGGTGCTCAAGCTTCCCTCCTCCTCCCCATAGCACCTCCTTGCTCCATACTCAGCTCGGATGTTTTTCTTTTTTCTGGTTGCCTGGGGTGATGCAAAGATCAATCAGAACTCAGCAGCCAACCACACGTACAATTCGAGGCTGCGAGGATGAGCCAAAAAGGAGTGTGAGTTTGAGTCCTTAATTATTGTTTAATTATATTCAATGTTTTTTTGTCACTATATTACATGATCTGATGTTTTTTGTTGTCCATGCACAAGCCTTTTCTATTAGAAATACAGACAGGCTTGTTGTGGGCGCGCAAAAGGCAATTTGTTTCCCCAAATACATTACATGATCAAAAAAAATATTGGCCTTTTGCTGTCCATACACAAGCCTTTTCTAGTGGAAATAGAGCTTAGAGTGGTTAATCACCCAAAACAAAAAAAACAACAAAAAAAAGAAAACATCTTTTGGGGACTACTTGGGTCCAGGCATGTTCAGACTAGTCTGGGAAACATGTTTTTTGTTTTTTATTTGTTTCGTTAGTTTCGTTAGTTATTTTGGTTTCTTTGGGTTTTGATTCCTCAGGATTAATCAAGATTAATCCAAACCAAATCTGATTCATCGTGCCCCCAAGGCATTCCTGTGAAGTCATTACTTACAAAGAACTTGTATGCTAAACATGCGCAGTATTCATTGGGGATGTGCAATTTTCCTTTTCAGGTGTGAAGCCTTTGTGGATGTAAAATTATGTTTTTGGTGAAGGAAACCGTCCCTTCAAATAGATGGTGTTTCTGCCCCAGTAGAGCGCAGCTGGAGTTCTTTGACAGGAGTGTTACATATTTGCACAGAAATGGTGTGATTGAAAGGAGTGTTACATATTTTCAAATCATGGTGTAACTTTCAAAAGATGCAGCTGGTTCAATTTTGGCGAATAAAACCGTTCCTTCAAACAAATGGTGCTCCTTCCAAACAGATGGCAGCTGGGTTTGTTTGAATAGAGTGTTACATTTTGTTTAAAGAAATGGTGCCACTTTCAAACATAAAGGCCAGCTGAGCTTCTTTGAGACATAGTGCATATTTTGACGCAGTATTGTTTCTGTTGTTTAAACTAGCCTGTTTAAATATGATTGCAACTTTAAGTTAAGTAGTCAATCTTTGAAGAAAACAACATCTGCCTGAAGCAATGTTACCATGATAAAGGAAAGACAGGAATACTGCACTTTAGAACACAATACACATCGTAGATAACACATATTGTTCTTTAAAAATCCAACCGTCACAAAAATATGTCTTCCTGAAAAAAAATTGACTAGCTCAAAAGCAACCACCCGCTTGTAAATAACAACAACTTTTTGGTTGAAGTGGATGCTTTGTAAGGAAAACTGCGCTTCTTTGAAGAACCTCATTTCTTCAAAGCATTGTTTGCTGGGAATGTAGCACAGGCATACAACTTCATAGACTATATGACTACTGTATATACATATATTCTCTTTGGGCAATGAAAGCAAGTAAAAACTACTGCATTGCCTGATATTCTCTGGAGTTTTGCCTTTAGCTTGACTCAATGTGTTGCATCTTCTTTGGTCAACTGCTGCGCTGCGCAGCTCAAACTCATTCAACATTGTTATGTACTTCCACACCTGTTTGAAAACACCCGGGAGTTTCCTTAATTTTCTAACTGAAATAGGCCTTGTAGATGAATGTGGTATTGTACCACAATCATATGGACACATGACAGTAATGTATCCCGAGGTTTCAAAACAATAATATATATATATATATATATATGTGAATCAGGTTTGGAAGGCTTTTGTTTTCACAAATCATTTATCAAGTTCTCATCCTCTTGATATTTTGGCTCAAGTGCCTTGACCCAAAATAGCAAGGTTTTTCTGTTTCTTTTGGCGTGGAGTGACCACGTTTTTCTTTTGGCACAATGCGGTATGAAGGTCCGGGAGAGGGTCAGGTGTCAGGCATTGGGCTAGGCTGTCCCTCCCCGTCGTCCCCTGTCTCTGGGTCTGTTGGTCGCCAGTTTGAGGTCATGATGAAGTTGACGGCACGGCATGGCGCAAGTTTGTGCATCAAGCGGTAGTCCTTGCAGCTGCTGCCATGGCTTTCCAGCCGGGGCGCTATGCGGTGGAAGCTGGAAGTGCGGAGCCCGATGCTGCGAGCAATTTGCTGCAGGTCCAAGTTGCCCGCGTGAGGGAGTTTCGCGAGTAGAACCTTTTGCTGGCGGATGATGACTTTGCCTACGCCTTTGCCTCGTATGAGGAGGCGATGCTGGCAGGTGGCGATTTCCTGGGGCAAGAGTGGGCTCGCATCAGGGCAGAGCAGGATCGGATGTTGATGGCGGCAGGGGCTGTGGCGGTGGAGGAACCATGGTCGTCAGCCTTCCGTCCAGCTCCTTCCAAGCCGTATGTGGCGCCCGTCAAGAAGCCGATGGCACGTCTTGCGCCTGGAAGCGAAGCGCCCGAGCAGATCATTCAGCGGGTTGACATGCTGACCAATGCGTTCAGAGCCATGGGGGTGATGCGACCAGCTTCAGCGCCTTTGTCTAGGCAGTTGCTTAGTGATTGGTCCCAGGCTCTGAGGCGGCTGGCTCAAGAGAAGGTCACGAAGTCTGACAAAGCCACGATTGTCAACGCATTGCGGACATGGAATGAGTTCGAAGAGCACTTGGCCCTGAGGGCCTGAGGGACAGGGAGCTGCCACCAAGCGCGGTGGACATTGACAGCTTCCTTCATGAGGGAACTCAGGCGCCAGTCGGGGCTCTCAATGCGCTACGCTGGATGAGTAACCAATGGCAAGCTGGGATGGCCCATTGACAGAGTCATAGCGCCTGCACCGAAGGACAAGACTCAC